GCCGTGGAGACGCAGTTATGGCCTTGATAGCTGGTGACCTAATATCTCAAGCTGCCAGAATTCTTGTGAGAATGTCTACGTCTAATCACTATGATCCTCATCACCAAATCCTGACTTCAATCACTTCCCACCTTCCCTCGTGCATTAAATGCTTATTCGTGGTCAGTGGGTTTGCTGCAATAAACAGAGGCACTACTTCATTAAATGAAGCCTGGGACCCTGTTGTCACATGATGATTCGCCTTTAATGCCTTTGGCCGTGATTTTGCTCGGCCTCCGCCTCGGCCTGCACTCGAGGCCGAAATGATCATGCCTTAGCATTTTTCTTTTGTCTTCAGGAAGGCAAAGCACCCTGTTGAAACGCTGCGTTTCAGTTTTACGAGGAAGTGCCAGGGCCGAGAAAAGGGGCTCCTTCGGCCAGCTCATGGCCGTGATTTATTTGGCACAAACAACCTCATTATCACGAGTTGATTGGGGCAGTGGCAGGGCAGAGGGGGGTCCTGTATCAATTTCATCTGTATGAGAGTCGCTAGTATCACTGTTATGTCCTTCTGAGAGAGGCTCAAAAAATTCCAAAATATCACCGGGCGACCGGTCGTGACATTCCTGGCAACCGGTCGCGTCACTCGTATTGTCATTGTCGTCGCTCATTGAGGCAGGCGACCGGTCGTTTCCTATGTGCGACCGATCGCTTTCAGGCAGATTCGTTAGAGACCGATCGCTCACTTCTATGCGACCGGTCGTATCCAGGCAGATTCGTTCGCGACCGGTCGTTTCCTCCATGCGACCGGTTGCTTCCTGTTCACCAGAAATTCCTTCTTCAGGTCCAATATCTTCCACATTTTCTACTCTGAAACTCTTTAATTCATTCCCCCTCTCCCCTTGAATTGAAGAGGAGGGGGAAACATAATAGGGTACTTCTTCATGAAAGGTGACATCCAAAGTAACATGTACCTTCTACATAGGCGGGTGATAGCACTTATAACCCTTCTGAGTAGTAGAATAGCCAATGAATACGCAACGGAGAGCACAAGGATAAAGTTTACTCCGTTGATGGGAGTAGACATGAACATAAGCAACACACCCAAACACCTTCGGAGGTAACTTAGAGCCCGAAACCGGAGGAGTATGGGCACACAACACATCAAGCGGAGTCTTGAAATCAAGAACCCGACTAGGAGTACGGTTAATCAAGTAGGCCACGGCCAAGACACCATGTCCCCAAAGATGATGGGAAACAGACATATCCAACATAAGAGAGCGGGCAACTTCAAGTAACTGATGATTCTTCCTTTCAGACACACCATTCTGTTGATGAGTGAATGGAGTGGTAGTTTGGTGAATGATACCGTGATCACGAAAGAACTGGTTCAAGGTATGATTCACATATTCACCACCATTATCGGTCCGAAATACTTTAACATGAGCATGAAACTGAGTAGACACAATGGCACAAAAATTAGGGAGAATAGAGGCAACATCATGTTTATTCTTCATCAAATACACCCATGTTAAGCGAGTGCAGTCATCAATAAACGTAACAAACCAACGGAAACCATGAGAAGTCACCCGAGTAGGACCCCATACATCAGAATGGACTAACTCAAAAGGTAAAGCAGCTTTGTTATTACTTAAGGGAAAAACAGTACGGTGACTCTTGGCCATTACACAAGTCTCACATTTGAAGCTAGACTCATCACAGGAGCGGAATAAAGATGGAAACAGACGCTGAAGGTAGCCAAATGACGGGTGTCCCAAGCGGCGATGCCATAACCAAATTTGCTGTTTGTCTTTGACACTGCAACGTTGAACAGTATTAACGACACGATCACTAACTGGTGCAGAAGGTAATGTCAAATAATACAACCCCCCCTATCTGTTTACCATGCCGAATCACCTCGTGAGTCTTGATATCCTGAAAAGAGCAATGGGTAGGATAGAAAGTAGCAGAAGCATTAAGTGTATCAAGTAAGCGACCAACATATAACAAGTTACAATGGATATTGGGAACTAATAACGCACGAGACGAGGACATAGTTGGGGTGAGAGAAATGGTGCCCTCGCCAGTAATTTGAGAGGGTAAACCATTAGCACTAGTTATGTATGGGTCACAGGTGTCACTAGACAACTCATCAAAAAATTTAGCATCATAAGTCATATGATCAGAAGCACCAGTGTCAATTATCCAAGTATTGGAGCCAATACCTGGAATAGAGTCAGAAACACGCAAATTCGCAGAAGCAGCAGCAGCACCAACAATGGAATTATCACCCATGATTGTAGCAGAAACTCAACAAATCACGCAGAGTATATAACATAACACAGCACAGACACAAATATGGCAGATGCACGAAGACAACAGAGGCACAAACACAGTAGAAGTAGATGCACGAACACAGTAGAGGCACACAGTAGAGGCACGAACACGACAGAGCACACAGCGGAACACGGCAAAGGCACAGACAATACCAATCACAACCTTGGAATCATCACCCATGATAGCAGCGGAATTATCACCCATGATAACAGCGGAAACAAACACAACACGAAGCACAAACACAGCACAGGCATAGGCACAAGAACCCTAAAAGAAATTAGGGCACACAGTAGAACACGGGTGTGCACAACACACACAGGTCACCAGAAAGTCGGCTTTGATGCCAAGTCAAACAATATGGTAGAATATTTTCAGATGTATTTCATTCTCCGAAAGGAGGTATTTATAATACAAGGTTACAAACCCTAGTAGGGTCAAACTGGGAAAACAAGTGGAATCCTAATTACATAATATCTATATAAAAGGAAATAAATAAAATAATATCCTAATAGAATAGGATATCTCTCGCTAACAATATCTTCTAAATACTCCATCGAAATATTGTATATATCTTAAAAATTAACATACAAAATTAAGCAGTTAGTGGGGTATAGCTTAGTTGGTTGAGCTCTTCCACCTCCACTCATGTGAGTTCGAAATCCTTAAGAATCCAATAAATATTTGCATAAAACCTCTCTCCCCCAATCGCTTGTACTAAAAAAAAAGATTTCAAACCTACGTATAGAAATTACCCTAACTGACCAACATGTAGCTGTCTTTGTAGTTTCCTTTCATCTTGCTAATTAATAATTTTGGCAATGCATCATAAGCTTAATTTATACAATTCACTTCACCATATTATAAATCTATATTTTTTACCGTTTTCTTGTAAGACTGTTAATAAAAGAAAAAACAATAGTGCTAAGTTATCGTAAGAACAAATAAGCACCACTTCATTTATTATATTATTTTAGTGCAGGGCCTCTGAAATATCAGGATTACTCTGAACATGTCAAGTTGTCTTCTCACTGTCACTACTACTATAATCGTTCATTGCCTCCAAAAGTTCTTTTTTCATTGCAATCATTTTCTAAGCAGTGTGTTCTTTTATACTCAACACAATGTCACAATTTTGTTGTATCCTCCAACTTGTGAAAAGACAATTTAGTGACTGGTGAACAAGCATTCCGTATTTTATTTTTCTTTTCTTTGTTTTTTTTATATATTGTTTTTTGATAGTTGGATTAGACTATCCACCGTGCTAAAAGACATGTAACCAAAACTTGTCATTTCCTAATAGAAATCAAAGCTCAAATGAATACAATTAAAGCATCTATGAAGACAATAGATGAATACCATACTTGAAGAAAACAATAAAATAACAACTATTAATTGAGTGGTATCAAACAATGAATATCTAAAACTAGACCATTCATATCTTTGAAATTCAATACAAAGTGGGCCCATAAGTGTTATTTGAGGAATTCCTCAACTATATATATATAGGAAGCTTCAGTTGAGGGATCTTTCAAATATGCTTATTTGAGATACACTCTTGTAGGCCCTACTCCGTATGGTATTTCACTAATCCAAACGTCTATTTTGTAAACACTCATTCAAAAATCATCTCTATAAAAAATCACTTGAATCCAATATCATTTGACCACTCAATTGAATTATTGAAATTTTAGTACTTTCTTGAAGCACTATGTTCATTGACTTTGTATGACACAATTGGATATCGAAATGGTTTCCAATTTGTCTAATTTTTTGCAAGGATGATCTATGAATGTAGACTTTAAAAAATAGATAGTTTGGATCGTTGAAAAAATATTTGTAGGGGACCCTAAATATATATATATTCTATTGAGGGATCCCTCCAATAATTTTATTTGAGAGACACTCTTTAGGGTACCCTACAAATTTTTTTCCTTCGATCCAAACCATTTATTTTTAGGTCTACATTCATAGATCATCCTTGCAAAAAATTAGACAAATCGGAAACCGTTTCGACATCCAATTGTATCCTACAATATCAATTAACACGGTGCTTCAAGAAAGTACTAAAATTTCAATAACACAATTGAGTGGTCAAACGATATCAGATTTAAGTAATTTTTTGTAGAGATGATCTTTGAATGATTATCTAAATATAGACTGTTAGGATTAGTGAAATATAATGCGTAGTGGGCCCTACAAGAGTGTCCCTCAACTAAGTTAATTTAAGGACCCTACTATATATTATAAGTTGTGTTGTTGATTTAAACCATCCCCCACATCATATGACATACAAGTCAAAAACATCTCTCAGAATTCATCATCTCCTCACTCCTCCTAATAACATTCGTTCTGCTCCAAACTGATTTTTCTAAGACTAGGATGGCATCCATGAATGTTTAGGCTCGGATACTTTCACTTCAAATGATTCTTATGAGGAAAATTTGGACAAACTTTCAAGTTTTATTTCCCAATATACTTTGTATTGGACGTTGGCTGATGGTTTTAGGAATCTCTCAATGGCTGATGACAACGTCCAATACAAAGTATATGGTAGCATTTTTGTTTTGGTAATACCTCAGTTGGAATTTGTGGAGACTATGTTCGAAAGGCAATTGCTCTGATTCGGGGACTATGCCCTTATAAGTTATAACAAAGCTGCAGTCATATGGTTTGGAGCATGCCAAGTCAAATACTCGAACAATGATTTCTCAGCTCAAATTGACAACAAAGTTCGATGTGATGTGGCTCCGTAAAATGTGACAAATCCCAAGTCCTCTAATAAATGGACAAAATATCTATCGAATGTCCTTGTCGTCAAGGCTTCTACACCTGAAACACACCATGCCCTCGAGACGGTTCGGGTTCCTTATGGGAAGGTACACAAAATTATGTGGTGGCGAAATAAGGAAAAGGATTTTCATCTTGCGGCTCAATGCACTGGGACCTTTCGAGATGTCATTGGAGGAAGTGTCTTAATCATTTGATGTTGGAACTTCCAACTTGTTCTGATGGAAAAACCGGAGCAATGGTTTATTCTGAGAGTTGCCGGGTAGCTTTCTCATTAGAAAATACTTACTTTAGCGTCGTCCCAATTATGGGTGAGTCCCCTACTGTGGTATAAAAATGTGGTTTAGACAGCCCATTGTGGATGCTCTTAGGAGCAAGTTTGTGTCTGCCGCGCAAATCTCACGGCCTGGAGTTCCGGGCCGAGGGGAGGTGCGTTAACACGGGATTTCATGCTTTTGGGTGCGGTACGGTTGTGCGCGGGCGTGCCAGCACGATTTACCGTGCGTTGATGTTTCGATGAGTGTTGGATTGATGAATGGTGCGCCTGTTTGATCTGTCTTCCTAGTCAAACGATTGTAGCCGAGAGAGGAACTGGTCTCGGCTGTTAGGTTCACGGCCTGAACTACAAGGCCGTCGAGTGATGGTGTTGGTGATGGATTTTAGGCGATGCTCCGGCGCGCTGCTCAGGGAGCGACGGTCGTGTGATATATGGGGTGAATGAGCGAACAACAAGGATGGTGCTCCGGCGCCTTGAAAATTAAGGGTCGTATGATATATTGATGAATGGATTCTGCTTACAACCTAACACTACTCCTAGGAAAGCAAGTAAAGATATTGAATGTGCATTACAGGAAAAAAAATAAGTTGCTCCGTGGGAGGCTTGTTTTGGTGTTTGAACCCTTTGAATGTAGCTCGGTATTTATAGGGATGAGTAATCGAGGCTGAATTTACGCATAGTGGAGTCTGATTAGCGCAAGTGGGCAGTCCAATCGACATTTGGGATCGTGAAGTATGGTGGTGAGACTCCAGAAATCCCGGTGAATCTCGGCCGCCGCTCTCGATCGTGGGTTCTGGAGACGCATTTATTTCCTGGATAGCTGGTGAACCAACATCTCAAGCTGTCAGAATCCTTGTGAGAATGTCCACGTCTAATCACTCTGATTTTCATCACCAAATCCTGACTTCAGTCACTTCCCACCTTTCCTCATGCATTAAATGCTACTTTGTGGCCAATAGGTTCGCTGCTGTAAACAGGCACTACTTCATTAAATGAAGCCTGGGACCCTGTTGTCACGTGATGATTTGCTTTTAATCCCTTGGCCGCAATTTTGTTCGGCCTCGGCCTCGGCCTACGTTTGAGGCCGAGATGATCATGCCTTAGCATTTCTTCTTTTATTCTTTAAGGAAGGCGAATATGCCCTGGCGAAACGCTGCGTTTCAACCTCTGCGAACAAGTGCCTGGGCCGAAAGAAAGGGCTCCTTCGGCCAGCTCATGGCCGTGATTTATCAGGCACAAACAGTTTGATACGATGAAGTTTGTTTTTATTTATTTTTTAATTGT